ATCATGAAGTGGATGTCCAAGATGACACGTGATGACGTTGACCTCGAATTCTTCCGTCCCGGCAAACAAGCTACAGATCATGCCGCTCGTTCCAGCCCACGCTTGTCCGCAAAGCTCTCAAGATTCAGATGGTTCCAAGTGTTCTCCTTTCGGGCCTGTGTGGCCGCGAAGGCTTGGAGGTTTTCTGGAAAGGTTTGCCCTGGTGCCTCCCACAGACCATCAAACTCAGGACCGCGCCCCTAATGGCGCTGACGGAGCATCAAATTTACAGCCATTTGGACAAACTCGTGGTGCACCACGAGTTTGTCCAAATGGCTGTAAATTTCATGCTCGGTCAGCACCATTGCTGCAAACAGGCTCAGAACACAAGAGCTACTTCCTACTTGAGCCTCACTATCGGCCAAGCAGGCAGCCCATGCGCTGTCTCCGTCCCGCGTGCGAGGCTTCAGGATGCTACGTTGTTCGGATTTCAATTTCAAGCTAGTGGTCATTTTCCTCATTGAAGGCCGATCCTGTAGCTGGCAGGGTGCTGAGGCTAATTTGTGAGATGCATGCGCCTCTGCCGCGGAGCCTCGTCTGTGAGACTTCACATGAGGCAATTGAGCCCCATCCGCAACAGACGGGCACAAATATCTATGCTGTCGTGTCTCTGCAGCGACAGTTGCACTCAGATCCTTCCACATCCCACGGCGGCCGTACGCCGTACAGGGCGGTGCCAAGCCTGCAGGAGCGTCCGCGATGTCGCCGGATCGCTGCTGAGCCGTGCGTGGCTGCTGGCGCCGAAAGCCGGGCTGTGCAGAACATCGGAGCCTCTTGCAAGGGGAGGGCGGGGAGGGGCTTCAAGGGAACCCCACTATGCCTGCGCCATTCTCCCAGCTCAATGATTGCTTTCCAGGGTGCGCCAGAGCACTGCCGTGTTCAGACGGAAGGGCACGTAGGCCAGCAGCTCCCTTGGCTTCACCGAGACGACACAGAACTCGGGGACTCAGGCCATCTCTGGACATCTCTGCGTGCAATCAAGGCTCAAGCGGCCGGTGGGGTCCTTGACAGGCAGATCCACATGCCGGGGTGCGAGACACGACTGCACTCGCCGTGGAGAGACTTGCAAGGAAGCCAAGCGTCGGAGTCGTTGAGAACGTTAAGCCCAGGAAACCTGAAGCTTCCAGTTTTGTTCGGGGCACATCGCAGAGAGAGAGAGCCGCGGTTGAGACGCCGAGAACTTGCCAGCCGAAAGACTCCGGATGTTCTCGCCAGGCCATCATGTGGTCTCGGCCATAAGACAACATGTCCTGTGTCGTGACATGCCGTGAAACTGTATTGAGAACAACGTGCGTGCGAGGTGCATGTCAAGGAGGCGCAAGCTAGCAAGCTAGTGCCCGCTTCTGTCGCGCATCCCGCCTGCATGCGTTGGACTTGCTTGTGGAACGCCTTCCTCAGTCAGGTTCTCGACGCTCGGGCCGCGCAGAAAATAGCATGCTGACAGGAGGGGCCGATCTCCAAGACAAGCACGAGCGTCCGTCCCTTCGCCTCCCCACTTCGCGGTCGCGCAGACGTCCTTGCCCCAACCTCTTTCCAGAAGGCAGTGCCTCCCAAGCAGCTTGCATGATGAAGACCCAGCCCAAACGTGCGTTGCGCTTGAGGCACCGGCCCAGCCTGTGTCATCGAAGTTGTCAGACAGGTGCCTTGGCTTCCCAACAGCTGCCGCTCGATGAGCAGGGGGCGTACCGGCAGGCATGCCTGCAAGCGAGCCGCAAGTTGAAAACGAAGTTTGTCCAGGTACCTGTCACCGGTATGTCATGTCTCTGCGGCCGCGGATGCTGACAAGTTGATGCGGTTTAATGGCACCAGCGCCAACAAAGCGGTGCTCCCTCTCGTGCCTTCGCCACCGAAAGTGTCAATGTGGACAATGGTGTTTTCCATCTCGCGGGCATATGTGCTGAAACGGATCCTCAGCTGCTGATCGAAGCTTCTGAGAGCTGCCTCTGCATGCCTCTGCCAGCCCGTCATTTTCAGCCCAGGGTCATGTTGACATCCACGCATGTTGGGTGGAAGATGCGTGGCCCACAGGAAACGTTCAACAAAGGCGTCATCGACCCCCAAAGGGGCTTGTCGGCAGAGGCCAGCCGCGAGAAGCCTGGGTGCTTCTGGAAGGGTGCCAGGCCAAATGCGCGTAGCGTTTGACGAAACGCTGCTTTGCACTCACGGCATGACAAGAAAGGGTATTTCGGGCCCAGGGACAGATGTCAAGAATGGACATGTCCTGACAGCGCACCGTACAACATAGCACAGAGGCCAAGGGCAAGACGCCTTGCAGTTCTGCCGCGAAAGTCGTGCTGCAGCGGGTTCACGCATGGCAAAGAAGGTTAAAACTACACAGCTCGACACTGCTTGCTGCGAAGGATCAAAAAGGATAGGTGCCATGGCGAGAGAGAGCGGATGCTGGCGAAGAAATCGCAGCCAGGAGTAGGGCAGATCGAAATGGCGCCGCCTCGGATGAACCCTTCGTGAATCGCAACTCGCAATGCTGGCATAGTCTGGGTCTGACTTCTCTTCATAGCTAAAAGCTGGCTCGCGCCGGATCCTGATTATGCAAGGTCTCACAGGGCCCACGGAGAAGGCACAAGGGCGGGTCAGGTCTCAACTGAGCTGAGGCCACCACATCCAGAACTGAGGTCCTGGAAATGCAAATCCAAGATCTTCCCAGTGAACGCCCTGACAGGGCTATGCAGGGCTTGTATCGTGGTGCCATCACCTCCTGCCGACAAGCACCTGCATCTTGCTTGCTGTCTCGCAGTCAGCGCCAGCCCCCACGATGCCTCTTCGAAGCGCGATGTCGCAGCCAGAGTGGCGCGCAGCTCTGCAAGGACATCGGCACCTGAAGCTCATCCGACCCTGTACCCGGCTGTACCCCGAACCGCCCTCCGCGACCCCCTCGCGAGGTCGGACGAGCTGGTTCGGAACCCGGACTCGTGCATGCGACGGCACAGAGGAAGTTCGAGACCACCACCACCGGCTCCTGTCAAGAGCACTCACTGCAGCACGCCAGGCGAAGAAGCTTCTCCAGCAACTTCACTGTTTACGCAGTCTCCTGATCCTCGCCGAGCCGCAGGATCTGGACGTCGGCCTCCTCAAAGCCTGAGTCACGAAAGGGGTCAGCGATGCCGGCGTCTGTCGGCGCACGAGCTGCGAGCTTACAGCCATAGCCAAGCATGACAAGGCAAAAGTCTCGGGGTCGCTTTCGATAAGCCGAGCGGCAGCAAAGCTGATCCTCCAGGGACTGGACG